GAAGGGGGGTAGTCTTATACAACGAGTATCGCCCAAAAACCTATGTTTTAACTGGAAAATTAGGGGGTCGTCTTATACACCCAGTCGCCTTATACGCCAGAAAATACGGTATGTTGTAAACAGAATTCCGTGCAATCAATAATAAAACTAGCCTGAACGGAGTTCATGTAGGCATCTGATGATAAAAAGTGCTGAAGGGCAGACAAACCTACTAGGGGATGGACGTTGTAGAGTGACGACACATCCAGTGAGGCCCAATGGTATCCTGATTGCCATCTATATTTACTTAAAACCTCTATAATGTGACTAGAGTCCCTGATGAACGATGCAAATTCCATGACTATTGGTTGAAGGAAAAAGTCAATGTATTTGGACAGGCTATTAATAAAACTATTTGTGCTGGCTACTATAGGACGCCCAGGTGGATTGGTAATGGACTTATGGATCTTGGGAAGGTGATAAAAATAGGGTGTACTACACACTGTAGGAAATAAAAATGATTTTTCTCTTTTATTGATTACTCCGTTGTTGAAAGCAGTGTCAATCAATATTTTGAGTGCTTTCTGGTACTCAGGTAAAGGGTCTTCTTTCAATTTCTGATAAGTGCTAGAGTCGGACAGGAGACAGGTGGATTCTTTTATGTAGTCTGAGGTGTGTTGTATTACTAGGCTACCACCCTTGTCCGCTTGTCTGATAGTAAGATTTTTGTTGAGTTCCAAATTTTTCAGGGCTTTTAGTTCCGAGTTTGTCAGGTTTCGGCTGGTTGCCGGAACATCACAGAGTCAAAAGATCTCTATAGACCACTTAGTAGAAAGTTTCAATGTAGGGCCCTTTTTATTGTACTGGGTAAAATGTGGATTTGGGTCTAAAATCAGTATGTGTAATGTCAGGGTCAAGAAAAAAGGGGGGGATCTCAAAATTTTGAAAAATGACTCTCAGACCATAGTTCCTCTAAAATTTGAATAAGTTCTTTATCTTCATCTTGAAAGGAAGAATTTATAGATGGAGTGTGTAGTACAGTGGATGGTTGGGGATCATTCAAAAAATGGCGTTTTATAGTAAGAGATCGAATAAACTTTCTTTTTTTTTCCCCTTGATTGTAATATAAAATATTTTATAATCTTGCACATGCCACTTTGACACAATTAAGCCCAAAAGGTTTTTTATTATGGTCATATTTAGGTTTAATCACACTTTGTTCCTGTCCTTATAATGTTTTTTATATTTCAATTGCAATCTGATCCTGTTGTGAGACGAGCCGTCCGCTCTTGATTATCCCTTTGATTATCCCCCTGGTTGTTAAGCCGGCCCCTTCTGCCATGCAGGTCTCCTATAAAATGGCCAATTGCTGGACTTTTTTCACAGACTTGATAAAGCGCATGTGCGCGAAACATGTTGTCCCGGCAACCGGCCTCTTCCTTCTAAAGCTGTGGCTCCAGCAAGAGTTCCCCCCTCCATCTCTCCACATCGTGGTGACGTCATCCAGGATGCTGGGACGTTGGGTACACGTGGTCCCTGCACTGACAGGTATTCTAGTCCACTGCTTCCCTCTGATTGTACGGGCCGTCCATCTTGGAACCTGGCTTCTTAAAGCCACAGGCTGGTTATTTATTTTTTACCATATGAATTATTAAAGGCACACCTCCATATAAGGTGTATTACTTTTATCACAAAACTACACAGCGCCTGGCTCCTGTTCATACTGACAGTTGAAGTGAGTGGAGGATGATGGATCCACACTCTGACAGATCCCAGCCTGGAATTCCTCAGGCAATGGGGAGAGATAAAACACTGACAGTAGGCAGCCCCCAACACACACACAGAACATTTGAACTGAGCAATCCCGCACAGTGACAGATCTGACACAACACACCACCACCAACACTGACACAGATTAGCAGGCCCAGCAGGCACTAGAAGAGTGATGACATCATCACAATTCCACAGGATTGTGATGATGTCATCATTCACTGACACATTGCACATATGATCACTGACTGGGTCACACTCACGAGACATTACCTTCCTCCACAGGTGCATCTCCACCTCTGCTGTTGAATGGGAAGAGAAGGGCTGGAACTTCAGTGATCAGCAGCCACCAGTCAGTTGCAGTAAGGGACTGAGTCTCAGAGGAACACTGGAAGAAGCAGCAGCTCAGCTGCTACATTGGCCCCATCCTCCTCTCATAACGTGGCAGCGTCACACACAAAGAGAGTGTCAGCCTGTGCTGTGCTCAGATGCCCCTAAGTGGCAGTGCACCCAAGGTGGCTACCTGGTTTGCCAAGTGGAAACACCAGGCCTGCTTATCCCTCACTCCTGCAGGCTTCGTTTTCATCACATACAATGCAGAACCAGCAGTCATGCATTGTAAACTAGGACAAGTGTTTTTTTTTCCCAGAATTCTGCTTTAAAGGAACTCTGTCATATACTCCTAACTGATATAAAAACTAATAATATAGCCTAATTATTATTCAGAAAATATTGTGTTCTTTGGGAATCTTGTTCCCATTAGCATACAATAAAGTGGAATTAAAGCAGTAATAAACCCAAAAATAAATCATTTTTATGTTGCTTCTTACCAATTCTTAGATATGGTGGCTGCATTCGTTTTTTTCTAAGACTTTCTTTTATTTTCACCTGGTGATCCTGCCAGTAACTCTGTTGTTCTTTAACAGAAAAAGCTGTCCTGCTGATGAAGAAGTTAGTGGGTTGAAACAAACCATTTACTGTAAAACGAATGGGTGCTTACAATGATCAGCACGTATATATTTGTTGTAAAACCTTTATCCCAAAAAGGGAATACATTGTTGCTGTAACTGCTTATAAAGGATTGGCTGGAGTTCTGTATCAATTTGCTAGTGTATTTAAATCTGATAGTACATCCAACCTCCCTCCCCCAAATTAATAATGTTGCTGTTCAAAGGTGTCTCTGGTGTGTTCTGTCATCCAGAGTGTAGGCACACTAATGTAGGGGGTGTATTACTGGCCTTAGCAGGTGAAAATAGAGCCTAAAGAAAGAAAACTAATGCAGCCACCATATCTAATTGGTAAACTGCAACATATTATATTTTTTTGGTTTTGTGCACCACTTGATTTACTTAGTATTTTCAAAATTGTAGCTAAAACATTTGTCTTAGATAAACCTAAATGCATCTACACCAGTGTTTTGTTTTTGGTCTTAGAAGAAATCTTTATTAATTCTTACTTTAAATGTGGGAATGGGAGCCTCTTGGCATACATATAAAGTGTTTTGAATTGTCTTTCAGGTTGCATCTTCAGGCATTTCAGTCAAAAGGTCAACAATCTGTGGTGCCAATGCTGTTAAAAATATGCTCATGGAGTGGTGCCAAGCAAAAACTCGTGGCCGCGAGGTTTGAATTGGGAAACACATTTTCATAGTATTGTGATCCACTTAAATATAAAATGTTTTATAAGAAGAGTTGCACTGAACCTTTTTTGTGTAATTTAGATACTGCCCTAAGTCCATCTGTATTGCAACACAGAAGAGCTGCATATCAACTACAGATTTCTCTCAGACAGAATACTAATCTCATGCTTATAAATGTATACAACTAATACAGTTTTATATAATCTCATACTTTTTAAAAAAACCTATTCTGGTACCAAAGAGCTTTATTGAAAAAATATTGGAACATACAAACGGTAAATGTTGTGTTTAACATTGATCAGAGAAAAGAACATGGAAGAGAACAGGATCAAAAAAGATTTACCCACACAGGGGTATGGAAATAGCTGGGATATACCACAGCATGGTTGAGAAATCACACAAGGATCAAGACTGTTATGCAACAGAAAATAGTGTAGATCAATGTTAGCTCTCTAGGCAAAACAAATCAAGGGTTGTGCAGCTACGGATATACAGCTGTATATAATCATGAAAAACAGAACGAGAAGATTCTAATGAGTCCATTAATTCGCTATAGACGTAGGGGAGCACACCCAGCTTTGGGATAAAAGTAAAAAGGGACAATTTTTAAAAAAGGGTCTATGCACAAAAAAAGAAAAGGTTAGTGGCAGTAATGGGGGGGAGAGATCCCCCAAAAGGGGAGGGGGAGCAGAAGGAGGAGTATGAAGAAGAGAGGATAAGGAAAAGGATCAAGATTGGGGAATTTTCGCCACAGGGGGATCAGTGACTGTAGTTCTATCCCCTAAAACTCAGGGAGGAGGGTAGCAGAGCACAAGGTTAAAGATGAGTCAGCCCTGAGGTGAAGCAGGAGACTGGCCAGTAGTCAAGCCAGGGCTGCCAGATTGAGAGGAATTTGCCCTGTTTATCTTCCAACACTGCCATTAGATTTTCATGAATAAAGAATCCTTGAATTCTAGATTTAACTTATTCAAAGCTTAGAGAGGGTAACTTCCCTGCGTAAGCTATAGTCTGCTTTGTTGCCATAAAAGAAGAATGAGAAGAGAGCACGTAGTTTCCGTGGTGCATCTTTGAGTGGTCTGTGGATAAGCGCTTCCCCCAGGGTCTTTCAGATGTTAAGTTGTGTAACTGATAGAAACATATTGTACACTTTAGACCACAAGCGGTGGGCTGCAGGGCAGGACCACCAGATGTGAAACATCATCCCTTCAGCCTTTTAGCCCTAAAACATAATGGGCTTTAGCCAGGAACATACTCAGCTATGTGTACTGGTGTAAAATACCATCTAGAGAGAACTTTATATGAGTTCTCCAATGCCTGTATGTTGTGAGAGCATTTCGAAATAGCCTGCCAAACCGGCATCCAATCTTCTAACGTTAAAGTCTCTCTCTCGCAGAACCTGCACCCTTTCAACACAATAAGAAAACAGGGGTTAAGAAGCATGGCATTGAATGGAGGCATACTGTAGATCAGGGTTCCTCAAACTTTTTAAACAGGGGGCCAGTCCACTGTCCCTCAGACCGTTAGAGGGCCAGACTATAGTTTTTTTAAAAAAAAAAAACTATGGTTTGACCTGTACTGTGTCTGCATTTGTTCAGAGACTGCGGACATACAACGGTGGCGGGAATACTGGGCCGGCCACTCTATAAGACGCACAGACATTTCCCTCCAAGTGTGTCTTATGGAGTGAAATAGTGTCCCATCATTGGTGTGTCAGTGGGAGGAATAGTGTCCCATCATTGGTATCAGTGGGAGGAATAGTGCCCCATCGTTGGTGTCAGTGGGAGGAATAGTGCCCCATCGTTGGTGTCAGTGGGAGGAATAGTGCCCCCATCATTGGTATCAGTGGGAGGGAATAGTGCCCCATCGTTGGTGTCAGTGGGAGGAATAGTGCCCCATCGTTGGTGTCAGTGGGAGAATAGTGCCCCATCATTGGTATCAGTGGGAGAAATAGTGTCCCATCATTGGTGTCAGTGGGAGGAATAGTGCCCCATCATTGGTATCAGTGGGAGGAATAGTGCCCCATCATTGGTGTCAGTGGGAGGAATAGTGTCACATCATTTGTGTCAATGGGAGGAATAGTGCCCCATCATTGGTATCAGTGGGAGGAATAGTGCCCCATCATTGGTGTCAGTGGGAGGAATAGTGCCTCATCATTGGTGTCAATGGGAGGAATAGTGCTCCATCATTGGTGTCAGTGGGAGAAGAATCATGCCCCATCATTGGTATCAGTGGGAGGAATAGTGCCCCATCATTGGTGTCAGTGTGAGGAATAGTGTCCCATCATTGGTGTCAGTGGGTGGAATAGTGCCCCATCGTTGGTGTCAGTGGGGGGCGGAATAGTGCCCCATCGTTGGTTTCAGTGGGGGGGAATAGTGCCCCATTGTTGGTGTCAGTGGGGGGAGGAATAGTGCCCCAATGTTGGTGTCAGTGGGGGGTGGAATAGTGCCCCATTGTTGGTGTCAGTGGGGGGGGAATAGTGCTCCATCGTTGGTGTCAGTGGAGGGTGGAATAGTGCCCCATCGTTGGTGTCAGTGGGGGGAGGAATAGTGCCACATCATTGGTGTCAGTGGGGGGAGGAATAGTGCCCCATTATTGGCGTCAGTGGGAGGAATAATGCCCCATCATTATTATCAGTGACACCAATGATGGAGCACTATTCCTCCCACTGACAGCAATGACACTTAACTAGCCGACACCCCTGTTCCAGCATGGTGCTGCTGCAGCCAGCATACCTGGTTGCAGCAGTACCATCTGCACGGCACACTTACCGGGCGGTCAGCTGTCCTCCTTCCTTCACTCTGGCCTCTCCCTCCCTTGATTTTCCTCCTCGCCGGTGATTGGCCGCCGGTGTGGCTTTCCTGAGCTACAGTACTGGCGCCCAATCACCGGTGAGGAGGCGGAGCCGAGCGGCAGTGCGGACATCGAGTGAGGGAGCAGCGCATCCTGGACTGGATCATCCTGGGACTGGGACCGGAGCCAGGTAAGAGACAGCAGCCCCCTGCCCACCCCTGTACTTGGTGTCCCCTGCCGGCGGGCCGGATGAGTGTGCTCGGCGGGCCGCATGTGGCCCGCGGGCCGTAGTTTGAGGACCCCTGCTGTAGATCATGGACAGCATGCCTTTCGTTATAGCCACTGACTTGCAGATGGATTTGAAACTTGTAATGGATTTTAGAGAAGTGATATTCCAGACTAAACGGTGTAAGGAAGTGGGGCAGTTCTAGGTAGCGGAACAGTTAGTGTGAGGGGATATGGTGTTTTTTTCCAAAAATTGTGCAAAGGTTCAAAGCCCTTTCAAGGTCAGTGCACTGTCACAAAACCATGGAAAAATCCATCACGTGAATGTGTGTTTAATTGTATCCCCTGGGAATAAGGGAATGAAGTAGAGGTAAATGGGGTGAGTGATGTAGTAGTGTTGAATGTGTGGGTCCCAAGGCCGCCGTGGATTTTTATGACAATAGAGTAGGGGGCGACTTAACCGTTGACACACTGAGGCCCAGATAAAACTCAAGATTTGCTGTTGTAGGATAAGTAGTATGTGAGGGGGTATGTGGATGGGAGGGACACGGAAGGGGCAAAGCAGTTTAGGCAGGTAAGTCATCTTGGTAGTGTGCGCGCCCGACCAAACCCTAAAGAGACATGTTACCACATGAAGATAGCAAATTTCTTAAGTGCCGAACCAAGGGTGGAATATTGGCCCACTAGAGGGCATGATTTGAAAGCATAAGGAAAATGCCCAGATATGGAAGAACACGGGTCCATTGGAATGGGGAATAGGCTTGGATCTGCGTCTGAGTTGCAGAGTTAAGGGTGACATTCTTAGTGGTGGACAGATTGACATGGGGAGCAGAAAGTGTAGCAAATCGTGAAAGGTGCGCCATCAAGTTTGGAAGGGAGGTAAGCGGTGACGTGAGATATAAGAAAATGTCTCCTGTGAAAAGCACTGGTTATGATGGACGCCTGCCAGCTCTAGGCCTCTTATATCAAGATGATTGCGTACATGGATGGCGAGAGGTTCGAGCGCCAGTATAAAAAAGAACAGGGATAACAGACATCCCTATCGATGCCACCACCTATGGGAAACAAAGAGGACTCAACGTATCAAACTGTCACTAAGGGGGAGTTACAGAGTGCAGAAATCCAGTGTAAACAAATCTTCTCCCAAACCCCCAGAGCTGCAAAACTGGATGCAAATACGACCAGGACAAAGTGTTGAATGCCTTACTCATATCGAGCACGAGGAACATACGGTCCTGAGAACGTTGATGCATAGGACAGTGTTGCACACTGTCAGTGGCCTGGCGAAGTGGTATGAAACCAATCTAGTCCTTGTGGATCAAGATGGGTATCCACCGATTTAACCTGGTAGCTCAAGATAAAGCTAAAGCTTTTGCCAATATTCTGACGTCCACGTTTAAAAGAAAACTAGGATGATAGTGCGATCATTACTGTGCATCTATACCCAGCTTGGGATCATCATTATGTGGGCCTTCAGCATTTCAGTTGTAAGGTGCCCCCCTTGTTTGAAGTTCCGGAGGCCTTCATATCTTCCATATATTCTAATATGGCTTTTTGGGCTACACTCTCAGGAACGTCACTAATACAATTATTTTCATTTTTATTAGTGTAAATTTCTGACATCTCACTTTATACTGAGTACAACAGAACTTGAAGTTGTCGGTAACAACAGTTGCTCTTTAATATTTTGATAATAATAGGAGTGGGCTACATCCCTAGATTAAGTCACAAGGAAAATTGTTTCCAATGGGACCTTAATGCAGCCATAACAGGATAAATATGTTAAAAAAAAGTATTTTATTGATACTAAATCCATTATAAACAACAACAAAAACAATTTTGTAACTCTGGCATTCAAGATATGTACAGTCATACAACCTGTACCCAGGGGCGCATTTACTGCAAGGCAAACAAGGCGTTTGCCTAGGCCTGCACTTTTCAGGGCGGCGGCACCACCCTCTGGCAGCAGTGATATCTATGAGGCTGGTGACCGAGCCACAGCCTAAGTGACAAATAAAGCGGATGAAGGCGACGCCAGGCAGGAGGGCACCGGTGGCTGTCACAGAGTGTACACTGGGATCTGGTACGTTGGAGGTGGCCCGCCCGTCCCATCTTTGTGGGCACACCCTAGGTATGTGATGGGAATAGAGAGCACAAACTGGGATGATTCATGAAAGACCTGCTGATTATCAGCCAGGGTGAACAGTGAGCTGAGCAGGTAGGTGGGGCATTTCCCTGCCAAGGGATAATCTGTCAGATCCTCATTGATTGCTCTCCCCTCTGATGATGGATGTAGTGCTCTCTACAGCAGTATGTCTCTCTAACAGACCAGCAATAGTAATGTCTCATTATTTTATGTTCCAATACACTCTTCGCTCTGTTGGCGCCAATTTAGATGGGGGGGAGGTGGGGGGTGCAGATTTAGTGTTTGCCTAGGGCAGCACAAAACCAAAATACACCACTGCCTGTACCTCTAGACTTGGTAACACATAATATAACATCAGTAACAATTTGGCAAACAGCCACTTATACAAGCTTTTACTACAATAAAGTCTGCAACCAACGCGTTATGATTTAGTGTATAATCTTTATCAGGGATAATATAAAAGGTACCTGTAATAAAAAAAACAAAAAAGTACTAACACAATACATATCATATTATACCCAGTATATACATACATGGATATATAACTCACATAGATTGCTAGGGAACATAAAAGATTATTCAAATCGACTTAGAGACCCACAAGGGCCACACGGTCCAGCATCCAGGCCAAAATGGGGCACCTGCAGCCAGGTCTGGAGAGCCACGACCCATAACCAATACTGTGTATAAAGTAAAAGAAAAAATAACCACACAAAAATATGTATACCTGTGTCATATATGTTGTAAAAAATTATGAGTTTTTTACTATTTAGATTACCTTAAGGTATTGAATCCTTTTTATAGGTGGGTGCAGGAGGTAGTACAAAAGTCTCTCAACTAAATAGCCACCTAAATAAAAAATAAAAATGTATGTTATATTTTTATTTATTATTCTTTATAGGTTCTCTTATCAGCTTGGGAACCCTTTATCTGGATTATCTGGACCCAGGCGTTTGCCTGGTGGTGATATCCCCTTTCATTGGGCTCCTCCAGCGTTTCATCTTGGATTGGGTTGTCCTGTTCATTTGGGCACATGGGGGTGGACCATGGCGTTGGCATCCTCAATTGACCTTGTGCGCATGTATGTGACATCATGGTCATACAGTGCTGCACGGGTATGCAATTATGTCATCGCGCTTGCAGCTTGCGGTTTGCAGAGGCATATCTGTCCAGGTGGATGGGTTGATGATCTCGCACCCACTATGAAGATGCCAAGGGAGCTATTAGACCAACGCCTGTTGGTGGGGTTTGAAGCCCGGGGCTGGGTGGTTGGATTTGATCCTCCACAACCAGTTATCAACACACGCATAATATATAACTTGGATCCTTGTGTCATTACTACTTGCTTGGTTTTGGGTGCAGAAGTGTTGCGGTTACTCACACACTCATTTGTAAGTAGAATGCTTGCCACATTACTTTATATCGGGGAACTTCCGGGACTCCCCAAGAGGGTCATCTTCCTGTCCCAATGCTTCACCGTTAGCCAGCGGGCCGACGCCAAGAACAAGCACCTGCTGGCCCTGTACACCAAAGACGAGTACTTCACCATGGTGTCTGACAGCGAGCAAGAGCAAGAGCAGGACTCCTGGTACCAGGCCCTCAGCCAGCTCATCAATGAGAACAAGAAGTCCTGCCTGAACGAGGACGATGAGCTGGAGGAGACCTATGGGGGCTTCCGTGCTGGCACCCATCTTCAAGGAAGTCTGGCAGGTGAACATCAAGCTGCGGGGACTGGGCCAGAGCAAGAACCTGTCTGGGGTCTACCGCCTCTGCCTGTCCAACAAGGCCATGCACCTGGTCAAGCTGAACTCAGACGTGGCCT